GCCCCAAAGTGTACGAATTTCTCTATTCGGGCACAGCTATGCTGAGAAAGCACTCTTATTATACCACTCTGGTGCCCAGAGAATATCAGCCCTTCTATCCCTCGCCCCAGGTGGAAATGCCCATAAGCCAGGCAGTATACAAAGTCCTGAGAATTTGGTGAGGTGCATAAAAGATACTTGGCCGGGCAAGGACAACGGGTTGTGTCTAACACCAGCACATCTGTGCTGCCTGTTGCCACAAAGAGCTCCTCTTTGCCTGGATGATAGGCCCAATCCACAGCCTGGTCCAGGATTGAGAAGGGCCAGGTGAGGAGCAGAAGCGCCCCTGTTATTGGGGACACAAAGCGCAACAGGCCATCTTCTGTGATGCACAGGATTCTGTACCAGTTTTCACCACGGCAGACCCGATGCACTTGCTGGGGAGCAGATCCACAGACATGGAAGAGGTTATAGAAGCAGGGCAGAGAGTGCAAGGAAAACGTATAAGTAGTTTGGCAGAAGAAGATAGTGTCATCGATAAACTGGAGGCGGTACAGCTCCTCACCAAGTTCTAGTCGCCGAAGCAGGTTCCCTGAGGTAAGGTTCCACTCCTTCATTAAGCCTTCCTTGCCAGCTGTTAGCAGGGTGTTGGCCTCTGACCGGCTGCGGATACATACCACTAATGCGGAGTGGGCCTTGAAACTGTGGAGGGCCTTGTTGTGACTGAGGTTCCACACCTGGATCTCCCCGGCCTTGTTTCCAGCATAGAGAAAACCCTGATCCAAACTGGTGAAGCAGCAGGTGATAGAGGAGCCACTGCAGGTGGACGTGAACTTCTTCACCTCTCCCAGCCTGCCCTGGCCCTGACGCTCAAGGGCTCTCACCACAGTCTCACAAAGGGCTAGGAGGGAGCCGTTGGGGCCATTCAGCATGATGTGCTGGACAAGCTCATTTCCAGGCATGGAAAACATGTGAGCTATTTGGAGGCCTTTGCCACTTTGATCAATGACCCAGGTGACCACTGACCCCCTGATGCCAGACAGAAGCATCTTCATTTCTGGGTCATAGCAGAGGCAGGTGACGTTGAAGCGGCAGGGCACTGTGCCCAGGGGTTTGAATGCCCGGAAGTGGTCCCCAAAGAGGCGCAGGAGCATGTCACCACAGTAGACCACGAGGATATGAAACGAACCCGTGTGGACCATTGACTGGATGGGTGGCAGCCGCTCAGTCATGAGGAACGTTCTCTTCTCAACCATGTCCTCAGATCTGCTCTTCATCCACACTATAGCCTGGAAGAGAATAAGGTAGAAACTGCCCAGAAAAGATAGTAGAGGAGGAAAG